TGCAATTTGTTAAACATTGAGAGGGGTAAGCAGTGGCGCTTAGTGAGTTCAATAATAGATACAATATAACGTTATGCCATATATATACTTCAATATGGTAGAAGCAAAGAGGAACAAGAAACAACAAAGGCATAAGTGAATCATGTGACAAAGTTTCCATATCAATCAATGATTTGATTCAAAAATATACAATCAATGAGACATAACAATTTCTATACTTGATATACATCACTAAAGCTTCGGCCCAATGGGCACAGAAGACATACACTTTCTGATTTAAACATTTTGGTAGATTCAGACTGAAAGCCCTGTCTAACCTTCTGTCAATACCATAGAATAAAAGTCATTCTCTTACGAGACATGCTCTACATGGCCAGAGGCTACATACCAGTACCACCGTGAATCTAAGTCCTTTCACTGATCACATGGTCAAAGGTATAGCTTTGCTATCATAAATAGCAGAAATAATAACAACGGAAAAGCACATAGCACATATAACACATAACATACAATTGTTCCTATATATTGAACTCACCGTGAATTAATCGGAGGTTAAAATAGTAATTTGTGCAGCACTTCGTTATAATAAATAGCTTTCTTCGTTGATAACCGGGAGCTTTATTGAAAACCGGGCCATGCGAGGGTTGAGCTTCAAACCGAAAAGATAAATTTATCAGGCTCTTCGGGTACTTCGGGACGTGTTTCTGGTGTTGGGAATGATTTCGGGGCTTCGGGGGATTAAAAGTGGCTTAAAATATGGCTTATGGTGTAAAAAGTGAGAATTTTCAAACATTACCCGGGAGGTCTCGCACCCCCTTTATATAGGTGCGAGGTTCGGAGCTTCGGCCGAAAAAAGGGACACGCGGCAGCAGCAGCGAGGCTCGGATGCGAGGGGAGTCATCGACACGCGTCGGAAGTTCGGACTGGGCACGCATCGGACCAGGAGAGGACGGTGCCTTCGGTCGAATCAGCAGCAAGCACGTGGCGGACACAAGGCGTCTCGCATGCGAGGTGACGTGGCCGAACCTCAGCCATGCGAAATTCCTCGGTTTTTGCATTTTTCTCGATTTTTGTGTCCCAAACTTCAAAAATCCATAACTTTCGCATACGGACTCAGTTTTTGACGTTCTTTATATGCACGTGTAGGTGAAATTAATCTCTACAAGTTTTGTTTAGACTTTGTCGGCTAATTTTGAATTTATTTTTAATACTATTATTTTTAAGAGACAGGGATAGGAAAATCCGTTAAAAATTCATAACTTCTTCATCCGACGTCCATTTTCGTCAGTCTTTTTACCGTTGTACTAATATTGACGAGAACTTCGATTCTCGTTTAGGTTGTATCGGCTAAAAATCACTCGATCTTTAATTCGAGTTTTAGCTGTCTACTCCTATTCCGAAAGGTAGACAAATCATAACTTCTTCATACGAAGTCAGATTTGGACGTTCTTTTTATGAAAATTATCGGTTTAAAAAATACTACGACTTTCATTTAGATCACCAAGACTAAAAAGTAGTTTATCGAAAACTCACTTTTTACGTCATTCGGTGTCGTGCCGGTTTTGTCGCGGATCTTCGATTGGTCATAACTTTTTTGTTATAACTCGGATTTCGATGAGGTTTTCGCCTAAATGTTTCTAACGAAATTATCTACAACTTTCAATAATAAAATTCTACTTATTTCAAATTTTATATTTTCGTTAAATTTCAACATTTGCCTTTTGATTGGAATCTCACAAGACTTCCAATATTTTCCGAGTGATTCTAAACATAGTTTTACTTCATTTCTAGTAAAAAAACATCTGCTAGAACTCAATCCTCAATATCACATAATATTTCATAATATTATTTACTTTTAACATTTATAAAACACGATTTCAAAACGTGTATGTTACAGGCCTAAACACTAATCACCAACGATACTCATACAAATGTTTCTTAATACACCAATATTAACAATATTTTAATCCCTTCACTTTCAGAAGCCGCAAAATACTTCAATGGAAAGGGAAGAAACTGACATCGTTATCTTTAAGGAAACAGATTTAGAAGAACATCTGCAAAAGATGGCTTCAGACCAACTTTCATCTCTAATCTATTTTTAATAAAAGACTCCTTTAAACTACACGTGTCATCCTTATTCTCCTCTACTTGCCACGTGTCACTACCATAACTTTCCATTCCTTGTTTTTCCCGCCCATTCCTTCCGCTGTAAATTCTACATCATCACCTCCTACTAATAAGGAATTTCGTTTAAATTACAATCCACCAATTTAATTTGCAAGAAATCAACAATCAATTTTCCTTCCGCATATCTCTCCTAATACACGACTTTTTTTTTGTTTGAATGTGTGCTGCCTGCAATTCTGATTTATTTGTTTTTCATCTCCATTCAATCATCGACTATGTGTTAAGAGGTAGAAAATACCAATTAACCTGGTGTAATGATCCTCCGATCCTCAAAGAAGTTTAGATTTGCATTATGTTCTACCTTTTTGTTTGTTCTAATCGGGGCCAATCCACATTCTTTTCCTCTCCATCTGTGTGCCTCTCGAACCCTAATTCCCATAGAGAATAAACATGTTTTCTCGAAGATTTGGTTACATGTTGCATGCATAAATCAACAATCTTGGCCAATTATGCCACATCAATCTCCTAGCTGAAGAGTTTCCAGGTTTGTAAAAAATCTAATTGATTTAAATTTTGTTGCTTCTTATTATTGTTGTTCGGTTTATTGTTATTGATATATGTTCATCAAAAAAGATTTTTTTATGATAAATCATATAAATTTTGGTCAAATGTTGTGTTCAAGTTTAGGGTTTTATGCTTGTAGCAGGTAAATGATAAAAGTGGTTAAGAAATTACTTTTTTATAATGATGCCTAATAGGTGTTTGATGAAATGCCTAAGACAAACCATATTATAGAATTTGGTTAATCATGAATTTCAAACAACTTTTCTTATTGGCATTTGGTGATGAAGATTGTGCCTATGTAGCTTCATTATCTCCCCCTTTTTTCCTATATGATTATCAGTTTTCTAGACCTCCCCCCCCCCTACACACACACACCCACACACCCACATAAGTCATAATACATACCATTATTACTTACTTTTTGCTTGGTTATCTGTTTTCTTATGGATGATAGCAGGTTTATCAGGACTTTATCAGATGAAAATTAATTTTGTAGTGATCTTTACATGATAGATATCGGGTACTTTCTCTAATCTTTTAGGGTAAAATTTGAGTTTATGCATTGATTATGATATAAATCAAATTAGAGTTTTTGGACCTAAAGATACACGAAAGTGGATACCTTATTTGCCTAAATCTTGAGTTAAACAAAGACCTGAATGTGGTTGGTTGCTCCATTTAGTACAAAATTTCCTAAGATCGAACTTTTGTATTGCTTAGGTTTAGAGAGTGAGAGGTTCTTTGTATTCTCATCATGAACCCTTTTTTTCATATTCTCTTCTATTTTGGGAACTAGGTGATGTGTTATATTAAACACAATAAAGTATTGAACGCCTTAAGTCAAAGATTAAAAAGTAGATAATAAAATTTTGTGATATTTGTTGATGTTAGTGTTTGCTTTTTTTGTCCTTTTTTTTTAAAAATTACGAATTCCAATTCCTATTTGATTCGGTCAGAATCCGCTGATGAAGCACATGCGTTTTTTGGTTCGCAAAGGAATGTAATCAGTCAAAATAATTGGAATTTGAAGTGTAATCTGCCACGTGGTTGGTGCCGTTTTAGAGTTAGTTGGTATTAATGGTCAGGTTATAAAAGTAGAATGCCATTCCTAGATTTCATACAAAACAATTGTCTTACCTGTAAGTTGTAACATGTGAAAGAAATAGAAATCAAAATTTATAAAACAATGCGGATGCACTTGATGAGTGGGATTGAAATGCGTGTTTATAAAACAAGAGATAAAGCTTCAATGATCGTGTGTAAATTACAAAAATGGTAATTGTGTAAATTACATAACTGTTCCCTATGTAAATTACAGTTATGATCCCTCTATAAATTACACTTATGGTTCCTATGTCAATGTAAAAATTGTCAAGTTATGGTCCCTATATAAATTACAGTTGTAGTCCATATGTCAATGTAGCAATTGTCTAGGTTCTTGCAATTTTATTCAACATCAAGTTTCTCGGCTCTTTTTAATGTTGTATATTATCTAAAAGCTTACTATTACATGGAATAAAAGTTGACCCCTTTAGAAAGAAAAAAAAAGGCTGGAATTACATGCTATGAAACTAAAAAAAACTTAAAAAAAATATGCTTTACAATAAACAGAATCGTATTTATGTATATATGATTTTCTAATATAAAAACATGTTCATGATTTTACAATAAACAATAAACATCCATTATTTAAATTCATGTTTTACGATAAACAAACCAAGCAAAGTACATTGTTCTTAATTTGTTCTAACATATTCAGAATACATTCCCTCTTTGACTTCCTTTCCGTACATCATACAAACTCATGATTTTATCATTGCTCAATAATTAAGTTATAATTTGATTATTTTTTTTTTTTTATAAATTTCATCCGTGGTGTCCACGGGTTATAACCTAGTTTGTGAATAATTGCAATAGTTGATCATAGTTGCCATGTTTTGGTAAATAATTTACAAACTACAAGAGTTTGGTAATTAAGTTTTCAAAACACTATTGTCAAGATAAAAACTCCGAAAAAGAGAGATTCTTGTAGGAAATAAAAAAATCTTTTATTAATCACTATTTAAATAGGTATACATTAGATCAAAAGTAAGTACATATTTATATAGATTGTAAACATCACTCCTGAAGAAATGACACACCCTTTCAATGTAACGGCAATTCCATCTTTATGTAAATACCATAATAACTTCCAACTTGTAACTTCCGTTGGCAAGAACCGTTACTCCATCGAGGCAAGCTTACATCTTCAACAATAAATATAGAGAACTTGTGTGAAAGAAATATAGAGAAAACTCTACAGAAACATGAGGTCTTCTACAATATATAACTTGCTCATCTTTATCATCTTAACATACCCAATTGCTTCAACAGCGTTTGCATGTCCGTTTACAGCAAAATGGAATGTTAGCGTTATTAGTGTTGTCCCTAAAGATCTTGTTGTTCACATCAAATCAGGAGATGATGATCTTGGGAATCATACCATTCCATTCGTTGGAAATTATAGTTGGTCTTTTTGTGAAATGTTAGGTGATCACATTCTTTTTTACGGTTACTTCTGGTGGGGTTCAAAATTTCAGAACTTATATTTGTTTGACGAAGCCATTTCTGACAAATTCATTTCAAATGTGGATACTGAACATTGTTACTGGTTTGTAAAACCTGTGGGGTTTTATGTAAGTAATCTTCCAAGCGGAGGTGGGGAGTTCATTAAAGGTTGGGACTAAAACAAATTTGTCATATTTTTTCTATTGTAGGTTGATGTAACATATGATAAAATCTTATTTGATGAAATTAATTAGTATTCTATGTACGTGTTTATTTCTTCTATCATGACATCTGCAAATGTTTACAAGGATGCATTATTAGTTACAATTAAGCAAGATCACAAATTCTTTATAAAAAAATGTTTGAATAGTAAAACAAATTAGAGATGAAAGTGGGTCCAAACTCAAACAAATTGGACCCGGACCCAAAAAACCCCGAAACCGAAAATGAACAATTTGAAGACCCGAGAACCGGACCGATATAGGGGAACCGATTCCATTCTAGTTCGGTTTCGATATCAAACCGGGTAATGTGGGTATGAAACGAAAAATAGGTAATTGGAAACCGGATACGGGTTTAGACCCGGATGGACCCGGAAACCCGAAAAAATGAAAGTGATTTCCAAGTCATTTTTAACCACACTATGTCATTAAATAGTTCAATTCCTTTGGTATGGTATATGTAGCGAAACAGATTACTAGTTTTTTATACGATTTACATAATTATTACCATATTTTTTATTAGTTCTATTATGCAAACCTTGTATGTTTGTTCATAAGTGGCTTAAGATTTGCTATATTTGACTTCAATTCGTGTTCCTTTTTTTGTCCTAAAAAGTGCAAGTGGCTTAAGATTTGCTATATTTGACTTCAATTCGTGTTCCTTTTTTTGTCCTAAAAAGTTCAAGTGGCTTAAGATTTGCTATATTTGACTTCAATTCGTGTTCCTTTTTTTGTCCTAAAAAGCACCTGCTCATTTAAATGGCAGTGTATTGGTTTTTAGGAACAAAAATATTTCCCTTATACAGTAGCGAAAACTATAGCTAAAAATACTTTGAAGTACATTTTTAAAAAGATTAATTATCGTGAGAACAAAATGAGGGGTCAAGCTTTTTGCATGGTGTACATATGAAAACATCATTACTGCATAGATGTTAAACTAACATATAATTTCAAAATTTGGTGAGCTTGAACAAATGCTAAGATATAAAACAAAAAGAATGGGAGCTTCTTGTCAACGTGATCATTGAGAATGTAGGCTTAATTGCAAATTTAGAATTTTACATACCATAATTGCCAAGGAAGAAAACTAATCGACAATGAAAACCTTTGAGAATAGAGCTAAATGTAATTTTTTATCATGTTAAATTGTTAATGATATAGTTTTTGCATTATCAATATCATATACTAATTTTGTTAATTTAATTATGATGTTAAAATTCAAAAGTTAAATCAAGATTTCAAAATAAATTAAAAAAAATGGTTAAAGACTATTTTCTTCAAAATAGTTAAAATGTTAAAATGTTTTATATGTAAAACCTAAATCCACATGGAAACTTAACTAAAAAAATATCCATAAAAACTATGTTTTATAATAATTTTTTTTCCAAATGAGTAGTTTTTAATTTAATTAACTATACTAATAAATATAAGTAACATAGAATTGTCTAATAGATTTTTGATGTATGTGATGATATGTACTCGTCCCCATTTGGCGATTTGTCATATGTGGTGAGCGGATACATTGTGAAGGTGGTGAGCGGATACATTGTGGTGAGCGGATACTCGTCCCCATTTGGCGATTTATCAAGATCATTTTGTTGTTGTATTCAATAATCATTGAGGATCGGTTGATGCTTTTCGACTTTAGGAGTGAAGGTGGAGATTGTTAAAAGTTGTCTACAAAAGTCATAGTTTGTTGGGAAGGATAGCCAAAGAAGGGTTGTAAAAAAGGGAAAGCCAAATAGGTCAGCCAACAAGAATATCCTTTTCTCTCTCGTGACAGAAGGATAACTTTTCTCTATCATGATGAATGATAGCTCTTTCTTTCTCCTAATGGAAGAATAACTTCTTTCTCTCTCATTATTGAAGGGTCATTAGTCTTAGAGTATAGTTTCTGGTGTTTAGACTGATGGGTTCCTGATTTTGGGGGTTTATTGATGGAGTTAATTGTAGTTCCAATTTTTGAGAAGTTTCCCGGTTTGAATGGTTTTCACTGGGAGTTGGGCCTTACAGTTAGGGAGAGGAGGATAGTTGTTGTGGCTGAGTATTTTCAAGTTATTGGGTTATTTGTTGACAGTTGTGGGTTTCCGAGTGATCTATCGACTTCTCTGTATAGATGTCTTGATTTCGAATTGCTTAAAGGGAGCTTGTGGAATATGTTGACGTTGTTCAGAGATTCTAACCAATACGGATTTCGAGGACGAAATCCATTTTAAGTGGGGGAGAGTTGTAACATCCTATTTCGATAAGTTTCTTATTTCTTGATTGTGGGAAATAAATGGAGCAAGTAAATGCATTAGGCTTCAAGGGAATAGGGTTATATATTGATAATATTGGTTATGTGATCTAAGCGTTTCGTTTGTGTTATGGAGCCAAAGGGGAAAATGGGGAAAGTTATACGTTAGGCTTCTTGCATTGATTATGGTTTATGTTTCGACATGTGTTAAACAAAAATTAACTACATAGAAGTGTGGGGCTTGTGAATTTCTTTTCGTGGATATAAATATCGCCGAAAACGGAGTTGAAACTAAGAAGTTATGGTTGTTTGAAGTTGAGATGGATTTGAGTGGAAAATTGTCTCCATGGAGTGGGGATCAGAGCCCATGACATGGCAGTGGCCACAACACGGCGAAGTGTGGCCACGAAACGACGATCTGTTAGTCCCATGCCCGTGATTTTTAGTGTTTTCAATGTATTTAAGCATAAGGTTCTGACTTTTTGGCCATTTTATCAGCCTCCATCACCTCTAGAACCCTTTGGGAGAAACCCTAGGCTCCACCTTCAAGATTTAAGCTTCTCCTCTATCATCATTCATCTTTTGGGTGCATTTTATGATATTTTGATGAAGTTTAAAGATCTAGAAGGCTCTTTTGGTTGCAAGGAATGACGCTTCAAGTTTAGATCCATCGAAGACACTACATTTATGGACAATTGTGAGTATAATGTTCCAATCTTGCTATCTAGTTCCTTAGATCTTGTCATTTGGGATGCACTTTTGGTCCATTTTATGGTTGATCTTGGAGTTGAGTGGACTTCAACATCTTTTTATCAGTTCAGAATACTTCTTGAACCTCATGGATTAGGAAAGTTAAGATCTTTTGCCTTCCCTTTTAGCCATGCAAGTTATCTTGGTCATTTTGGTGTATTAAAGCTTAGATATTCGAAGATTGTGGCATTATTATGGATAAAGTTGGAGACTTTATCCATCTAGAGATCTTGTTGATTCACATATGAAAGCTGGAGACTTGGACTTAATGGATTAAGTGAGAATGATGCATTTTTGGGTCCCTTTGAGACTTATAGTCTAGATTTTGGTGGTTTGGACCTTCTTAATGGATAAAGTTAGAAACTTTATCCCTTGAGACCTTTTAAAGGATCAGATCTGATCTTTGGAGCTCTTGGAATCGGAAGAAAATGAATTAAGCTTGTTTGAGCTATTAGGACCAGTCCACATAGCGTTGCCTTAGGCTGCCACGATGTGGCGACTGGGGAATTAGCGATTGTTTTTGGCATTTTATGCCCACGACGTGGCCAGGGAAGGCCACGACTTGGAGGGCTGTTGTTGGCAATTATGACCTTAGCTTTAACCGTTGACTTTTGACCATTTTTACTTTTGGTCAAACTTGGGTAAAATTAAGCATTTTACTAAGGGTTGGTTTCAACTTGGCTTTAGGAAGCTTGGGTTTGATGTTCTGTTGTTGTGGTAGCTATTGGGCTTCTGTTGAATAGTTCAGTCGAGTCCCCTCACAATATTTTCGGGTCGAAGGAACCAATTCTGGCCCATTGAATTATGTTTATAGTATGATAGTTGTCTTTGTCACTATTTCATGTATTTGTATATATGTTTGGGATGGGCCCATTACATGTTACTGAGAGATATGTAACGGGCAAGGCCCGATGAATACCGGGTGGGCCCCAATGTATGTATGGGTATTTTGGGGAACTCACTAAGCTATATGATTACGGTTTATATTTAAAATGTTTTTAGGTACATCTAGTTTCAAAAGGGAGAGTTCAGCTTGATCGCACTGCTTCCCATGAAGATTTATGTGACAACCGTCAAAATTCGAGTCGGTTCTAGATTTGAATAAACTTAGTTGCACATATAGGCACGACACATACTGGACTTAGTGACTAGAAGCTCAGTTATAACCTACTAGAAACTTGGAAGCAACTAGAAACAATGGATAATGTACTTAGATTTCACATTGATATGTGAATTCTACAACTACTTAACTGTAGAGGCTATCCATATTCGGGTCACTCTTTGACTCGAACACCTTTTCATGGATCATATACACACATCATGCACTTGACCTAGAAGTAGAAATTAGGTCAAAGTCTCATAAAAACTTAAGTCAAAGTTGAAGACTAGGACTAGTATACTTGATTCCTCAATTTCGCTTGAATCTCGGAATCACTACATAGAATGCCAATAAACCGATAAAAATAAATTACAAACATTATTTATAACTATAAAAGAGTTATAATACCATAAGATAATTTAAAGTCTCAAATATTCTATTTATTTTGATATCCAAATTTTTACAAACTCTCAAAAACCCTAAAAAAACCCTAAAACTTAAATTTTATAAAGTTTAACATCAAGAATTCTATAAAAATAGTTATGAAACTTATAATATTATCTTAAAACAATTAAAATTCAGGGAAATATAATCAAGGAAAATAAAAATTTAAGTCATTAACATTCATCCTTAATTTATAAGTCAAAAATCAAGGTTTCTTGAATAAAAACTTGATTTTAGTGCACATTTTATATAAAATTTAGATATTTTATAAAATAACTTAAATTTTATAAAACAAAATGAATGAGAAAGGGTTATTATACTCAAAATTTCGGACCCCTTTCTTCCCATATATCTCTCTCTCACTCTCATTCTCCAACACACACACACATCTCTCTTCTTTCTCTCTCTAGAAAACTCTCTCTACCTTCT